GGGTTGATTAATTAAGGGGAAACTTCTTTTAACCTGTACCCTACTCCCTATAATCCTGCAAGCCAGCTTCTGGTGGAGTTAGCTTCAAGCATTCATTAGCATAGCCTGGGCCTTTGACACACTGCGCTGGTGATTTATGCCTGTGAATATTCATTGCAGCAAATCCAGTGGCTTTTCTGCTTGCTCTGGTTTTTTTGAGAGTACCATGCAAGATATAAAATCTCCTTGCACCCTGTAACTAACTCCCTGGGGTAGAAGTTTGCTGCATTTGAATCCCTTTGCATGCATGACAGCAAAGAGTACCAGTAGTGCAAAGGCAGCATTGCTTACCAGAAAGGAAGACTGTATGAAAGGAGAGGTGGCAGGATAGTCCCCCAGGTTCACTCTGTGTGTTTGTTAATACCAGCCAGCTTCCACCCATCTTAAGAGCTGTCGTAAGAGGGCAGTTAGGAGAAATGCAAATTAATTCTGAAAAGAGTAAGGGAATCGGAAAAGAAAAAAAGATAGTCTATGAGAGAATGGGCAGGGGATAATAGAAAATGCTTCCAGAGTTAGAGGCAAAGATACGTGAAAGAACAAGTAGGAAAGGAAATGCCACAAGATTAATTTTCTTCTGTATGTACAGTGATCAAAGTCTGAAACTCAAATGCTGTTTCCATTTCTGACATAACTTGGCTCTGGGACCTTGAGAAAGCCTGGTTTCCTAAGGGTGCCATCTGAGAAACCCTTATTAGTTCTTCTGCCATTTGAGCTAAGCTGTAGTAAGATAATAGGAGGGAAGAAATTTATTATTTTCAGGGAGGGAAATGACAGACTAAGTGACTTCCATGTGCAAAAAGTTATTTCAGTGTCTATATAGAACTTTATAGCCTTTTTTTGTCGGTAAGAGGAGACTCAGACATACTGCAGCATGCTGAAGCATCTTAGTTTCACCTGATGAAGTTGTTCAGAATGTCTGAGCTTTTATTGAGCATCATATCTGCAAAGCGTCTTCCTCCCAACTGGAAAAGATGTGCAACGTTTTCTGATTGTGCGATGACTGAACAAGTGAAAGTGTTTAACCAATATAAAAGTAGGGTGTATATACTGACTTTTTTCCACAGAAAAGTTTCACTGAGTGATGTGTCTTGGGAGGAGAGCCAAGGAGGATGAGAAACTCTCCCAACTGCTCATCTCCTTGCCCCTAATGAGCAATCCCTGTATGAGAGCCTTTTTTTAAAAACACTTTTTCTTTATTAAAAGAATTAATATGTTAGCTTTCTTTTTGTACAGTTTTGTACAGTTCTGCTTTCTGTGCTGAAGCTGGAAACTTCAAATGGAAATTTAACATTTTGCATATTAACTTACTTTATTGATAAGAACTATTGAGTGCTTATTAAAGTGATCAAATACCGCTATTTCTTGCTTCCATCATGACTGAAATGAAAAGGTAATTTTTTCAGACCTTTTAGAGGCAAATGCTATGTTACTCCCAGAGAGCTCACAAACTGTTCCAGAGAACCAACAGGCAGCTGAAGCAAATATCCTGAGGGTGAGGGAGTGAGTACTTGGTCTCACAAGTAACAGCATGGTATCTTCTGTGTTGCCTGCGTGCAAAAGCTACGTGCTTATGGAATGCTCTCTTCATTTCACTGAAGTCAAGAGTTTTGTCTTTGAACAATTTGGGCCAAGATTTTACCTCTAGAGTGGTTTTTTGGTGTGTTTTTTGTTTTGTTTTGGTTTTTTTTTTTTTTTAAATGAATTTAAATTGACACAGGTAATCATACATTCTGTAGCAATCTTAACTGTTTAGCCAGGGGGGAATATTTGCTGTTTCTCATTGTGGTTTCTATTTTTACATTTGTACCATCCGCTATGTTAACCAGTACTGGTGAGTGCTGTCAAAAATACATCATAAATTAATTCATCTTGAGAGCTCTCATTTAATGCATTTTGATTTAAATATGCTTATCTTTAAAATACAGGATCCTGAATTCTCAGCTACAGTACACACTGACTTCTTTGTTTTCCTGTAGCCAAATCTTATCAGAAAAAAAAAGTCAGTATTCTGTGCGTTTATACTAAAGTAATTTTTCCTCAAATGAAGGAGACATAAAAGTGGAGCATTTAGAACCTTTCAAATGAAACAAGTCACAGAGCAAATCACTTTATTCTAAAAGTGAACAAGATGAGCCATGTTTGTCATTTTAGCGAGAGAGAGATTGAGGTCAGCCCCTGCATCCTTTTTCCACTCAGCCCTTGGATGTGGAGAAGTGGTTAGCATGATATAAAAAGAGGGTGTTGTGGCAAGGCCATCATTGGAAATGATAAGTAAATCTTAGTGAACAGTCTACTGCCAAGTATCTGGAGTGGTTGGGATCTATGGGAGACACCCATGGAAAACCCCAGGATGGGGATGATTAGATTGGACTCAGGGGTTGGAGGAAGGGATTAGGTGGGGAAACTGACCCTGTGTGTAGTGGGGAGCATTGCACCTTCAGCCATCGTAACCAAAACTGACTGTCTTTCAAAATAATAAGTGATGTAGAAAAGTCAACTGCTTTTAATTTGGCACTTCTCTGTGCTTAGCGTGATATCACTGGGGAGATTATTTTAAAAAAAAAAAAAAAAAGTAAACTCTTGAAAATTCAGCTTCATGATGTTTAGGATATTGATAATCAGTAAACAATTTCTTCACTATTTATCAATGATTGTTTTAAAGTGAACACAAGAAACTAAATGGATTTTTTTGCCAGCTGCCACCACCATAATGTTGGTAGACTTGTTTACTGGATACTTGAAAAATCATATTTGTATGTTTTGAAAATACTTTTCTTTTCAGACTGTATGTCTGATGGTGGCTACAGTTAAACACTGTATGGAATTGGAAGGTTGCGTTTTTGTTCTTTGTTTTTCTTCCCCATTTTTGTAGCGTCCTCTTTTAAGAAAAATTTCCAACTGACCAATTAAAAAAAACCCAAACAAACTCTAACAAGCAAACAAACAAAAAACAAAAACCCCCAAGTATGGTTTCCTTGGGGAAGTTAAGTCTAAACAAGTATACAATAATAAATATTAGCAGAAGAATTAAATGATTTATTAGACAATCTTTACTTAGGAAAGCTTCTTAACTCTTACAACAGTTAGTGGGATTAAAGCATGTGCTTAATTTGCAGCGCATCCCAAGGGCTTTCCTCATTTGCATTTCACTTGCTCAGAGAACTTCAGGTTTGCATCCTTTTTTAGGTGCAGTGGATATCATAGCAATTCCAGCAAAACTAAAGCATTCCTAAAGCAAAAGAGTGCATTGGAATGTTGTTTTAAGAATGAAGTGCTTGCTTACTGCTTTCATACTGTTTGAAACCTTTTATTTCTGGCTCTTTTCCAATGTGGAAGGAGTTTGTTTTCAGAGAAATATTGTTGCCAAGGGACGAATGTTGACTGTGTTGTGTTTAAGACAGGCTGATATTAATTACATTCTTTTAGCTATTCTACTTCTCTGGATAACTTTAAAAGGTCCTTCCAGTTTCCAGAATACTTAGGTAAGCTCTCAGAACATGCATGCAGTGTCTCGTCATGGAGAATGTATTAAAGAACTGGCAAGAGCTGAACTCATTTTTGTGCACAGTCGAGAAATGTTGGTTTCAGATGATTACGCTAATTAATAACATACAACAGCATTAGTGAATGCAGTAATTTCCCTCCTCTTCTTCTTTTATCTTTAAAGTCTTTGTCTGAGCCAGTTGACAGACAACCTGTGTGGAGAGCTGCATGCTGCATTAGCGCAGAAGAACAGGCCAATTTTTTTCGGAACCTATTCTGTGATCAGGGCAGCATGATCTGGAGCAAAGTCAGTCTTTGGGGTTTCACAGTTCCCTGTTGATAATGTAAACCTAATGTTTTGCATTGGGTTTTGGTCCTTTCAGGCATCAGGATGAGTTACTTAACTTGCGTCTTCTATGGAACAGTTTTGTGCAAGCCTCCTTGAGCTGGGCTAGTGCTGGTGGTCCCAGTGATGGGACTGTTACTGTGCTCGCCCCACCAGAACTTGCACAGACTGTTTGTTTTTCCTCAACTAGCTCCTAAAGACTGAGCCTAGCTCATGTTTCTTAGTCTTCTGCCTATTTCAGAGTTTTAGATAATTTTGTTCTGTACTAGGTAAAATGCCACTTTCCAAGTATTTTTGCTTAATACTTAGTAGTTTAAGAAATACTGGGTCAAGAGAGCACAATGTACACAACAATTGTGCAGAGCTCACCTTACGGTGCCAACCCAGCTGCCTTGCCCTGCTTGTGTGGGAATCCTGGAGAAGAGTAAAACAAGCTGAGTCAAAGCAGGTGAATTTTCCTTCCACATCTCTTTTTAGGCTTGTTTTTGGGCCTTCTCATCCTCTCCTCTCATCCCTCCTTCAGCGGGATGAGTTTAGAGTGTCCTGTTTGTTTCTGGGACAAGAGCTCCAGAGAGGTTTTTTTGAGTCTGAGCTCCAGCCCTGCTTGCTCTTGGCCCTGGCTGCTGACCAGTGATTGATCGATCCTCCCTGGAGCTACCTGAGCGCAGCCTGATAGCTTATGCTCAACTTCTGAAGCCTTCCTGAAAAGCTATAGGCCTGTTGGACATGGGCTCCCTTTCTCTCAGCTTTCCTGCCAGGCATGATCCCTGTCACTCATTAGCCTCTTTCTGCTTTCCTGAACACTTGCTTTAATCCTGACACCTGTGTGGACACTTCTCCTGGTAGAGATAAACATTGGGTTACTCTTTTGATAAATTCTCTAGACCTAGTTGTTTGAAAAAATAAATGTTACTCATCCCCGTTGTCCCTCAAGAGATGGTCTTTATATTCAGGAGTTCACGTTGACTTACAGAAGATGAATGTGCATTTACAGTGAAGTTGTCCAAGTTATATTAATCAATAAACTGGCATTCAATTTATGGATTACTAGGGAGCACAAATAACTGCCTACGTAAACCTGTATCATCTCATTAACATTCTGTTTAAATAGCTTTTTTCTTTTTTTGTTTAGACAACTTCAACAGAAATTTCTGAGTATTCATCTGATAATGACAGCGTGAGAGAAGGAGAGATGGGCCTGGTGACCGCTACTCCAGGAGCCACTAAGAGATTACGGTCGAGGTCAGGAGTAGACATGGGGGATGTTACAGCACAACCGGCCAGCGAGTGGCTGAGGTCTGCGCAAGCCCTTCTCTGTCCGCCGGGGAAGCAGCCGGGCAAGCCTCCCCGAGCCCCCACTGAGTCTGCAAAGAAGCGGAAGCTACTGAGGTAAATGTGCTGTCCACCTTAAGGAAAAATTTTTTTTTTTTTTGATTGCATGTAAAAGAATACTTACAGAATAGTAGGAATGCATTTCAAGGATAAACACTTTAGAGATGCAAATTCCAAAAACTTAAAGAATGTCATTTATCTGTAAACAAGTAAACAAGGCGAGAACGAACTCAGTTCAGTTTTTAAATCTGTGGTGAAAGCTCTCGATCTTGAACTCCTGTGTACAAGTCGATATGGTTTTTCACTTTACAGTCTCTTACAGATGTGTGAGTGGACATATTCCTGTTTTAGCTTGTAATCATTTCATTGCTTTGTGCCTCTCCAGATAGTCTGCAAAAATGCTGTATGCTTTGGTCCTCTCCAGATTTGTCAGGGTAAAATTATCCAAAATACTGTAGGAAAGGGTTGGATGAGCAATAGTGCTGAATAGCGCAGGACAGAGTGACTCTTCTCAGTGGTGCCCAGCGACAGGACAAGGGGCAATGGGCACAAACTGAAGCATAAGAGGTTTCAGTTGAATATGAGGAAGAACTTCTTTACTTTGAGGGTGACAGAGCACTGGAACAGGCTGCCCAGGGGGGGTTGTGGAGTCTCCTTCTCTGGAGATATTCAAAACCTGCCTGGACGATGTCCTGTGCAACCTGCTCTAGGTGAACCTGCTTTAGCAGGAGGGTTGGACTAGATGATCTCCTGAAGTCCCTTCCAACCCTTGCCATTCTGTGATTCTGTGATATTTAGGCAAAGGTAGGACATACCTGTTAGTCTGAAATTTAAGTCTCTGTGACTAAATTAAATACATTAAAAAGATACGTAACTGCTGAAAGAAAACAGCCTGAGCTGTGGAAGCCTGATGTTCACAATTCACTATTTCTCTAGCTAATTACAGCGCAGAAGTGGTCACTTCCTATACTGAATTAACAAAAGTTGCTTTAACTTAAATGGTATATGTGAAGGTATGCCTCAAGCTATGGAGACTACAATTACAAACAGTGCTGCTATAGATATCTATTGTATTTTTAACAATGTGGCTCTGGTTTTTTTAAAGCTGATTCTATGTACAGTAGTCAATCAATCAATTACTTAAAGTAAATATTCACTTTGGTTAAATAAATAAAATAAATACCTTATTTTTCTCTAAAAACATTTTTAGCTATTTCAAAATGCTGAGGGAACAGATTTGAAAGTCCTAATTACTGAGGATCTCTATACTTAAAAGTGCTTTTCTTGTGTAATCAAGCTTTATTTCTTGTTACTTTAAAAACATAAAGGCACAGCTGTACTAGGTCAGACCAAAGCTGTAACCTCCAAAAATGCCTGTTAGTGGCCAAAAGCAAGTATGCGTGAAGGTAATAAGAACAGGACAAGCATACAGTGGTATTTTGGCCAGATGCACTTCCAGCTTTTGGCATTTTACTGCTCAGGAGCTGTTTGTTACCCTCAGTGGGTTTCTCTTTACATGAGTTTGCCCAGTAGTTTTCTGAAGCCATAAAAACTTTTGGCTGCTGTAATAACATCCCAGGGTTAGGAATTCTGTAGCTTAAACATGATGTGAATCTGCACCTCCCAGCTTCATTTGATGAATTCTACTATCATTATTAACTCAGTGCAAAAATATATTTACAGCAAAGATACTCTGAAACAAATGTATAAGAGAATAAATAGCTTTAAAAACAAACAAGCGAACAAAACCAAACAAACCACAATGATATAGAATGCAATCTGTCCGGAGTGGCCAGAGGAGCAGAGCTTGTGGGGTTTTTCACTCTTCCATCCTGTGGTTCCACCTTGAGTTCCTTTGGGAACAGGGAAGCAGGCAGGAAATTCCTTAGTTATGAGTTTTCTTTGTCTAGTTATTTTGCTTGTCCAGGTAATTGCCATCTTTTCACTCGTCCTGTTCAGGGCATTAATTCCACGTGTCTGTCTCTTCCATCCTTCCTTTTACTCTTGATGGAGGACATTTTCATTGGTGTACTAACAGTGGATATAAGAGTCTCCATCCTCGATAGGAAAGCTCAGGTTTTCAGTGCGGTGGATTGAAAGCCAGTTCGGGGAAAGGTTTGCCAGCTTCTTGATTGATGAAGTGACAACCCCTTCTTTCTTGCTTATATAGCTAAAAGTTGCATAGCAATTGTTGGCTTGTCCTTTCTCCTTCCTTCCCACCTCTGCTGCAGATTGAGGCCACAGCAGAAAAAGCAGTGAGCAGGGGAAATTGTCCTCCAAGCAGGATCTGGCCCACAGGCTCCCACTTGGACCATTTGGAACTGCTCAGTAGGTGGAAGAGAGCTGAAAGCCTCTGCTTACCTGGGCGCTCTTTTTCCTGGCTGGTGGCTAGGGGAGCATGGGTTGAGCAGATATGGTGCAGGTGGTAGAGCTGCCATCTTCCTATGTGAATTCCTGTGCAAGAGCTTCTACTCCAAATCCAGATTGTATTAAGAATGCTTACTTCATGGATGATGTGGTAGAATAGGCCCCTTATTGTTTTGTTTCCACTTTTAAGAAAATAGAAGTAGAAATTATTTCTTTTTTCATCTCGCTTTGCCGTTTGACATGACTGAAGTACAGAGGACATTTTCAAAAATTTTTAGCTTATATTTTCTGAACAAATCTTATACCATGTGTAGCAGTCTCTTCCATATTCTTTAGGCATGCTGCAATCTGCATTTATATTTGCATTACCTGATTGCAGCTATGCTCCTATTACCTCAATGGCTACATTTTTCTATGCAACCTCAAAGAAACCCCCCTAACACTCCCCCTGCCCCCAACCCCAACCAAAACCAACCAAACAAAAAAAAAAAACCCCAAAGAAAAGAGCCATAACAGTCTGTGGAAAAATTCAAATAAGTTACTTTCTACTGTCCTCTCCTCCTGGAATCCTCCCAGTGCTAAAATGGAAATGGCTAATTGCCTGGATGGGAGGAAAGAGTATTGTTTGTTTGATCCTATTACAGATGCAGTTGTCATACACTAAAAAAAAAAAAATCAAGATGTAACCAAACTGACAGAAATCTTCAGAATTAAGCTGATTATGGATGATTAAAATAAATTCTGCCAGTCCTAGTGTTAGAAATGTGAGTGTAAATGAAACGCCTTTGAGGGGAAATAAAATGAGAAATCGATTTATGTCCTAGAAGAACACGCACAATATACAATGTGCTTATGATGAGCGAAATTTGAAGGTGCATGTTGCAGTCATCCTCTATTAGGAGTCAAGTGGGGTTTTGGAAAGTGATTAGCATCTTGTCCTGGTTTCAGCTGGGACAGAGTTAATTTTCTTCCTAGTAGCTGGCATAGTGCTGTATTTTGGATTTAGTACAGAAGAATGTTGGTAACACAGTGATGGTATAGTTGGTGCTAAGCAGTGCTTACACCAGTCAAGGACTTTTCAGCTTCCCCTGCTCTGCTGGGTGCACAAGAAGCTGGGAGGGGGCACAGCCAGGACAGCTGACCCCAACTGGCCAAAGGGCTAGTCCATGCCATATGATGGCATGCTCAGTATATAAGCTGGGGGTAGTTGGTCGGGGGGCAGCCATCGCTGCTCAGGACAGGCTGGGCATCAATCTGCGGGTGATGAGCAATTGCATTGGCCATCACTTGTTTTGTGTAGTCCGTATGTTCTCTTACCATTCCTATTATTATTAATAATGTTCTTCTTTTCCTCTGCTGTTTTATTAAGCTGTCTTTATCTCAACCCACGGGTTTTACTTTTTTCTCTGTTCTCTCCCTCATCGCACTGGGAGAGGTGGGGAGTGAGCGAGCAGCTGCGTGGTGCTCAGCTGCCTGCCGGGTTAAACCACAACTCAGCTGCAGACAAGAAAGGTGTGACAGAAGCAGTTCCTCCCCCTCCATGCCTGGTGACTGGTCTATTCTGTGTCCTTTTGCCAAATTCTTCTATGTCTTCAGGTATCCCCTTTAATGTTAGGTTTTGTTTTCAAGATTGTTCTAAGTAAAGATTGTTCTTTCTGCCAGGGTCCACAGGGGGAGAACAGGTGGTCTGTATGGTGGTGTTTGTCTTTTAGGGGTGTTGGTGGTCCCAGGCAGGTTCTGAAGCAACCTGAAGGGCAGTGCTGTAGGAGGTGCCAGTCTGTCATGCTCGTAGCAAAGTATCATCTCTTTCATTCACAGCCATCAATACCGCTGCTCCTGGACATCCTCACCTTAAACACTGGGTTTAAATGTGCCATCTTGTGTAGCCACCTTCCTTTATTTAAAGAAAATCGGTGATGGCTGGGGTAGGAGTAGTACAATTTTCCCAGGTACGTTGAGACATAAATGTCATTGTACTGCACCCAAGGGCTACTAAGAGAGTTGGTAAAGTGCTCCTAGTGGTACTTCATACTGAGGTGAATTGCCTTGGTGATCAGGTCAAGAGGCGTTGGGTTTAGATGTTCCTGCGCTTTTATTCCACCGCAAAGTTTCAGTTTCTCAGCTTGAGTCAACACCGCACAGGAAAATAATGCAAGTGATTTGCAAACCTGAGAGGAGAGAGTATATACTGCAAATAACCGTTTTGAGGAAGCTCTTCTTTTTAGATTTTGAATTCTTGTTAATGCTACAGGGTGAAATGTCTAAACTTCACTAGTTCCAAGTCTCTCAAAGGTCCCTTGTGAAAGAAGGGAGAAATTAAGAGTATTGAAAGTCTCAAAGTTTGTTACATAGGTTAAACCAATAACTGGGTCCGTTCAGTATTTATAAAGAAGAAAACTCAAAATGCACGCACTCAGCTCTTCTTCTCTATGAGTAAACCTTCCTTAAAGGTTTTATGAATTGTTTGCTTTTTCTAGTAAGATTTTATTTCCATCAGGAAAAAAAAAAAAAAGTCTGTTTCAGTGCAGGAAGTAGTTACCTTAAGTTTTATAGTGTTAACCCTACTTCTAAATCTGTCACATTGCAAGAGCTTTTAGTTGTGAAGAATATCTGCTTTAGCTTTTTGTTTGGGTTTTTTTAATATTTGAGTGGATGGTTTTAGTTTAATACTAAAATCTTGGGAAATCCTG